TTATTATAAATGTTTTTCATTTTTTTCTTACAGGATATTTATTCTCAGCCCTTGGATTTATCCAAGGGCTATAGGCAAATGGACCGAATTTTTTCAAAATCTGGGTAACCACACTTGAGCCTCATTGCGTGTATAGATATAGGGACGGCAAAAATGCGGGTATAGTTGGGTTGGGCCATACTCAATCTTCAAGATATTAAGAATGGGTTAGGTTGGGCTGCGTTTTGCAGGTGGAGGGTTACACAAGCCATAATTTTTAATACGTATTTGTAACCTAATTTTTGTACTTTCAATCTAATTTTTATATTTTCTGTTTACTTTTTGTATTTTGAGTTTTAACTATTATACATGCTTATATTTTGATTTCAAACCTAATTTATTACAAATAATTAAAATATGAAATTTAATTATCTTTTTTCACATTTATCAACCACTCAATAAATACAATTACAAATTATTATTGTATTTCACTGCAATATAAATNATCATATCCCTCACATAATAGAAATATTGGGATATTAAAATTTATATTAAAGGATTTAGTTATCCCACAATGGGAGACTTGGATTTAATAATTTTAATTGGGGAGATTTAGGTTTAACCTTAGTTAATTAATTTTTTAACATGTCATGTTTAACTAACTTTCATACATATCACATATATGCATAAATTAAAGCATGTGGGTTGATCATGGGGCTTTTCGAAAATACATCCTAAAGGTAAACTATTTACCGTAATCCTATATCTTTGATCAGATTATCATCTGAATGCTCTTCGGGTTCCCGTCCAGCCGATTCAATTACAAATTGGATCTTAGGCACGCAGGCCTGATTAGAATAAATAAATAAAATTTAATTATTACAAGCCATTTAATAAAAGAATACTACAAACACTTTTAAATATTTTGAAAACTAAATGGCACCCATGATCAACCCTCTAATCTAATATTCATCCTTCACATAAATAAATATTAAATATTCATACCAAATATAATAAACATTTATTTAAAGGCATGAATATAAACAATTTAAAATATACATATATATTTACTAATATATATAAATATATCTCATATAGTAACATATATTATTTATGAATATGCATGTGGTAACTTTATGATAACTTTGGGGCATGCAACAATTACACATTTCAAGGGAATCATTGCACAAACACTTTTGCCATATTCCATCCAAAGATATAATAATGATTTTGTTATTTAATTATTAACAATATTTCAAGACTTTTCAAAAAAGTCATGCATGACATAAATAAATGAGTTTCATTACTTCAAGAATAATCATTCTATGACACAAGTTACTTTAAATAAAGTAATAATTTTTTTGACATATTTATCTTCTAAAAAACAATCATATCATCTGCATCATCATTTTTTGAAACTATTCAAAAACAAATTATTGCATTTCAAAAATATAATACATAATATCATAATTCATCACATGAATTAATAATCCGTAACCTCATGCCAACGTGATTTTCCGCCACTAAACACTTGCAACACTTGCAACACTTGCATACTCTTCATACAAAATACACTTTAATCAAATTAAAGGATAACACTTTTAACATGTTAAAGCATAAACAATTTAATCAAAGTCATGAAAATGAATATGCATGATTATTTCTTTAAATAAATCATCATGCAACATTTCCCAAAACATTATTCATCAAAGCGTGAATGAGATAACAAATTTTATGGCAAAAATAGTCATGGCTGAACATGACAAAGAAGAATGCCATAATAGAAAACATGCATGTAGTTCTCAATATATCTCATGTAATAACCATCATCCAAGCATACATTATATCACATTTCAACACATCTAATCATATTAGAGCAAGATGAAAAACACATTTTCACAAAGTAAGGAGATGGTCAAATCATATACATGCATCAAACATACTTATTCCAACTAACAACTCATTCAATACAAAGGCATGCTTATTATCAACATTACTATCATTCAAAACATATAAGAATGACATGAAAAACAAACATTTACCTTTGATCTAGGTGTGGCCAAGACATGCATGTAAAGAGTTGGGATGGAAAACTCATTTTTGAACCAAAGGACTAACATGCAAACTCAACCATGTATGATGAACATGTGAACACATGGAATAACATGACTTTTGCTCAAAACCAATATGCAAGGACCTTTTAAACTCTGATACCATTTGGAAAAAAAAAAAAAAAAAAAAAAAAAAAACCATGAAGAGGTGGCAAAAAATGTTGATTGGAAGCATGTAAACAAGACATACATGTAAATATATGAATTAATAGGATTCAAAAAGTGCAAATAAAGCATAAAAACATTATACCTTCTCCTAGTGCTTAGGTTTGATGAAGCTAAGATTCAAAAGGATTAATCCTCCACACTTTAACACCACCTTGAGAAAATGAAAGAGTGGCCGAACCTAAGAGAGAGAGTTTGTTTTTCTTTTGAGTGAACAAAATGAACACTTAACCTAAAATGCAACCATTTGCATTTATATATACATGGGCTATTTTGTAATTAGTTGTTTTTCACTTGCATGCCCCAATAAAATGTTATTCTAAAAAAAACCCAAGCATTTATTAATTTTCCCTTTAAATAATCAATATTATACAAGGCCCATGTAACCTAAACTAGTTTACATTAACAACCCATAAGTTTACCCCTTTGCCCTTTAACTATTAAAATGTTATTTTAGTTCATCTCATTTATCTTAACACTTTAAGATATAATAATTAAATACAATTAATTATTGCTTGACCATTTTAACCTTTAAAATATCAAAAATAATTTTCTATGTAACTATTATCATAGAAATCCTGTCGTTGGCCTCGAAAGGTGCTAACCCTCTTCGGATAATCATTTCTCTCTCTTATCCTTCTTCAACTTCTCAAGGCTATTGGTGTGACCATGTAGGTCCACCGTGGATTAGCCATAAGCCGGTTCTGGATGAATCTGAAAACCTGTCTGGAGGCCCAACGATTATGGTAAACATCTAGCAATGTGTCATAGTCCATAAACCACAATGAAGAAATACTTCATCAAACCCTTTTCAGATCATATGTACCATGCAGGTAAAGTCCCTCCATTGATATATCCTGATTGAGTACAGATTCATGGAACGTCAAAATCCTAAACTCGATCTTCTACCGAATTGTCGATCAATATGTCCGGAACTTGTCATCACGAACTTTCTTTCGTATGACTAATAATAGACTCTAACTAGAGATTCTGATTTCCGACATTTATCGATGTTTGTCCAAGAACTCGAATCTGGATGGAGTCAACAGTACTAATGATCTTATATTTCCGAGTCAATGGATCATTTCTTGACCATTGTTCATTTCCGCATATGAACAATGCATGACCAAATAGGCTTTATCATACGAAACATGACTAGTTTTGTACTTATACATCGTATGAACCATACACATCTGTATCGGATCCGAACACAATGTCTCAGGTCTAAGGACTACATCGTGCACTGATATCACCAAACGATAAATCATTGACTACATGCTTTTCAAAGTGATTTGTTGTTATTCGGTCACGTTCGAAAAACAATTCACCAACCGCTAATCCATACTAATGCCCTAGTGACATATCATCATCATCCATACTTATATGAACTCATGATATCTTTCGGAAGCATCTAGTATGCCTACTATGCAATATAGTTGCCCAAATTATATTGCTTCCGTAGGGAACCTTTTGATAAATTCATTTAACCGATTAAATGAATCATCTGGACAATTCATATACATACTTTATTTTAACTGCATGACTGAATAAATGAAGCAATTTATATATTGAATCGAAGAACTCTTTCTTCTAGTATTTATGATATATTGATATAAGACAAAATGCTCTAAAACTGAAAACATGAATGGTTTCTAGGGCATACACTAACACAAAAGTAGGGGAAAACAAGTGGCGAGTAGCTGACCAAAGGGCTCCGAGGGACCAGCGAACATCGGTTATGCAACGGGTAGAATACCGATAGCATTGCAACTCGACGACATGTCGCAGCATGAGCCATCCCATGCCACGTTGCATTAGCACTCCCACAAAAGTGCAAGGCAAGGAGATTCCCAATATCTCTGAAATGACGACCTTGACCGTCATCATGCGAGGAACTCCCGTCGTCCGCGGGTCAGTTCGGACCACTGCGAACATGGGGAAAACTCCTCGAGCCATTCAATATCTTCACATGACCCCAGCCAGCATGTGTCAAGGTTTGTTAGAGCTTCCGACCGAGTTGAGGAAAAGCCCGATTTGCGGTCTTTCCTCAACCGCAACCGTGAGGATCGAACACATGTTGCAGAAAGTGATCCCCAGATAGCTCCGCTGCCTCAGATTGAGGAATTACAGCAAGTTTTGGATCAGCTCAAGGCTTAGCAGAATGAGCGTGGGAAGGTCACAGAGACATCTCTCTTTTTTCCAACAACTTTAGCTGTTCCTCTCCCGTCGAGATTCAGAATGCCTGACATACAGACATTCGATGAGAATTCAGATCCTCAAGATCACCTTTATGAGTTCAACGACCTCATAGAACTCCTCCAAGTAAAAATAAAAGTTTACATTTTTCAAAACATACATATTATTGCAATTAAATTATATGTACATCTCAAAAATAAGCGATAAATATAATTTCTCTCTTTTGGGGGTGAAATCACTGCTTAGGTCATCCCAATATATCAATATACAGTTTTGTTATATACAAATTATTGGTAAAAACTATCTCTACAAATTGATGTGTCACGCCTCAATGTTTGACATAATCTTTCTTCAACTTGTTTAATTTATCTTTAATTTAAAAACATAAAATCATCTTTAAACACTTCACTTTGTACAAATGTATTAGCTTGAGCATAAAGTACTATCTATCAACATATCATCACTAGATGATCAAATTCTGAACCCCGCCCCCAAGAACAAAACAAAGATGGCACTGTGCCTTCTCATGTTCAATATAATTCCTCTATGAAATGTTTGATAATTCATCCTCTATGGAGGCAATATTTGATTTGGATATAGTTTATACAAAGGGGCTATGAGATACTCAATTTCAGCGAATGAGAGGCTTCTCAAAGTGCTTAACAAATGAAAACTCAACCGGCAGTGGGATATTTAGCTCTGAACAAACAAAGTCAACGATTTTTGCAGTTGTAGCACCATATGACAATTTGTTAAAGGACACCGAGACAGAAACCTGTTTTTTATGTCACAGAAACCTGTTGATCCACCGATGCCCGAGTGCCCATAACCAATAATCGTTCCATCTGCAGCTTTATTTCTCTTAAACCCCAGTCCAAATGGCCCATTCGGAAAGGTCAAATTCTCATAATCACCCACACCCAAGAATGCATCATGGATTTTAGGGTTACTAAAAATCATGCTACCAATATTTGTGAGTCGAGTGTAACCATCAACACCAGCATCTTTACCTTTGTTGTTTGTGCTTTCCTTTGAAGCAGCAGTTACCTCCTTGCTTTTCTTACCTTTTGGCTTTTTTGACTTCTCCTGTGAAGGAAATTTGGGGATGTGGGTGTGACTACCAAGTAGTGGCTTGGATAGAGACGAATGTGGGGGTGGGATCACTCCCCCATCAGCTAGGGCTGCATAGTAGCGTGCAACTGCACGGGCTGAGCAATGTCCATTAGTAGCAGGTAAGATGGCACGACGAATGTTCAGCATGTTAAAGAAAACAGGCAAGGTGGTGATAAGTTCTGTAATTTGGTCAAGACGGTAAGTAGTGGGTACGTCAGAATGGTAACCTCTGTTTTGGTACTTCCTGAGATCATATTCATCTACTGTAAGAGTTGCAAGTCGAGATTCCACACCTGGAGGGCAGCCATTGAAAGGCATGATAATTCCATTGATGACAGCTACTTCAGTTTCATAGTTACAGTAGACTACATAATTTCTGTTCTTTTTTATAGAACATGATTGTGTGCACATATTCATGCAAACTTATATTTGCTGTACTAAGTGACATGAGAATATTAAAAAAGTGAAGTTTGACGAGTACCTGGTGGAATTCCAACATATAGCTCGCCTTCAATATTTAGAGGTCGAATGAATGCTTGTTCAAGTATCTCCTGAAATTTCTTCCCAGATGCACGCTGTTTCATCCAAACATATTATTAGAATAGGGGAGTACATAGAGAAGATGACAATATAGTCAAATTCTTTGATCAGTCTGAAGGCCAGCAAAAAGATCAAATTCACAATCAATCAACCTGGCATACCTAGACATAGCACCATATAAATATAGGCAAAATATTTGCCATCTACAGATTTCAGGGTTCATAAAGTTTCATACTTTAATCATAGTCAACCACTTATAATCAACTGAAAGCAACATTAACATATGCTATAATACCTCGATTATTCCACCACACAGCCAGCCGAAAGTCAGATAGTGATAGACTTGCTGTTGGCCCAATTCAGTTTCAGGTTCAGGTTTTGACATGGCAATCTGCCTCAAACATTCATCCCAGTCAGCAATTTCCATAGGATTTTCTGATCCAAACTCAACCAAAGCATTGTGCAAACCACTTGTATGGTTAAGCACATGATGGACCTAAAATCAAAAACCAAGTTGCATTGAGTTACTGACATAAAAACTATGGCTAACCAAAGGATGTGTTCAAAAGGTCATAGTATAAGATTTACACCTTTATGATATCTTTTCCGTTTGATCCAAATTCTGGCCAAATCTTAGCAACATTCTCCTCAAGCTTGAGTTTTCTACGAGACAACATACCTCGATTTGTTAAATTGCACAAACAGTTAAAGAAACATTGACATCTTAGATCACACAATGGTCTCCAGGTCTAGTAATCTTTATGCATCAATTTGCTCATTTCAGCTAAGTTAAAAATCTTTGACAAATTGAGTGAATCTTTCTTAAATGCTACAGGGGTATTATTGAATAATTATGTAGTGAACTGAAGGCATATGATTTTAAACTCCACCTAAGTAAATATCTCAGAGTACACCATTGGGACATAATGAAAGAAGCTCCAAAATCCAAAATATGAATTAGATTTTCTATCAACTGGAATGAAGAATTTCTGAATATCCACTGTTTCACTTTGTAAAAATGTATTACTTGTCTCTCACGTCTTTGTGCCGCTAACATAATGATTTCTGTTATTTTATGCAAGAAGAATGATATGAAATGCACAAATATATTTAAAATATTGAGTTACTGTGAGTAACAACAATCAATAAAACTAGAGGCAAGGTCGCAAGGGACATTTTCGTAGCCAAATCTTTTGCTTTGTTTTTTCTTTAATTTTTAATTTCCTACACGAAACCAAAGTGATAGGTATGTCACGAGAAACTCAAGGTTTGATGACAGTTAGGGCCTTTACAAATGCACAACATAATTAGTTTAAAGGTTCTCAACCAATATAATTACAGAGTCATCTGTTCTTCATTTACCCAATTAACCGAAAAAATTCTACATTTCTTCCAATAACAAGAGGAATAAATCTGAGTCCAGGGAACAATATTTTGGGCTGTATCCAACTGTATTACAAAATGCGATGATTCTAAATGAAATATATTTGCTTTATTTCCAAAAAGGGAGGAAAAAAAAAACCACATGAAAATGACCAAAATTTTCAAAAAGGTCATGCAGCTAAATCTCTATCCATTTCATAATTTAATTCTGCTGGATCATAATGAATTAAGTGCTCCTTTTGACAATGTCCTCTAACATGCAGTTGATGAGGACCATCAAAAACATCAGCAAAACACGTTGTTCAAAATTTTTTAAAACTTCTCAAACAATGTCTAGCCAGACCTCAACAACTTAAATTAGAAACTTAAGAGCTTTGCTGTTAAATTGCAGGGAACAGCTATTAATGGGCATACATATAACGAGGCAAAATAGAACTTTTGCACAGCAAAGCAGGAACATTTACCCATTGTCAACAAGCCAATGCACCATGCCTGCTGTGATGCCCTTTGTTACCGAAAAAACATTAAAAAGACTATCAGGCTGGACAGGACAAGGATCATATCTACCAAGCACTCCAGCAGCAGTATCTATAATGACCTCACCATCTTTGTACGTACAAACCTTAAAACATCAGAAATTAAAATCTCATAAGAAGGCAAGAATAATCATAGCCACAGTTTTGCATTTTCATAGTTTGGCAGTCAAAAATAGAGAAATAAGCTTATTAATCATCCTACAATTGTTAATATAAATTTCAAACTAAAAAGTTCAAAAAAAATAAAGGTGAACCAACTAAAGGTACAGAAACTGGAAGAAAATAATTCCGTTTTGTGATACCACCTAATTTCATTTATTGGACACTATACATCTCTTTGTTCAAAATTCACTAAAAATACCTATTCCTATGACACTTTCACTCAATGTCAAAATAGTATAAACATGCTATTTTAAGCACTCTCCACTTTAATCTTAAAGTGGTAGATAAAGGGTTTTGTAGGCCGTGTCTTAAACAAAAGTAAATCTCCGATAGTAACGATTCTTGCTGAACTCAGCAATAAAGGTGATTTTCAGGAATTTAAAGATCTTGGAGATTAGCTGTACTAGTCAGTCAATAAAGACCTAAACTTTCAGCGGTCTTGGATGAACCACATAAATGTCCTAAAGGAATCCCCAAATATAAAGACAATATGTCTTCCTATTTTTAAAGTTGTATGGAGTTTCAATTTTGTGGTCTAATTGCTTGGGATATTCTAGCAAGAGACAGACCCTCAAAGTTTGATAAAGTGATTGTCTATGGTATGATAATGACAATTGTCCCACTTGGTGCAGAAAATTCCTTTCCTCATTTAATGTCAAGCATTGGTCGAACTTCGTGAAATCCTGACTTCCATGTCACAAGTGTAATCACCATTCTGATGAAATTCATATATTTACTTAGGGGAGTAAATGCAATGTATACTTTTCAAGAAGAAATGTGGAAAATCTAAAAAGGAATATCCTATAATAACTGATAGTTAGCAAGATCTTTGAGACCAAAATATTGTAATGATCTTAGGCTTCATAAATCTAAAGGTGTATCATTTAAGTTGTACAAGTTCAGTCATTAATAAGGAGGTTCCAATGTGCTTGGAAAAGCAATATCATTAGTAGAAGCCATCTAAACATGCACAATGTTTGCGAGATTGTCCACGAGGACAAACTTTTGATAACATAATTTAAGGGTGAAGCTGCAATTACAGAAATACCACGTAACCAAGTCCGTCATATACTAAATACAAGTAGCTCAACAATCTGTCTCCAATCCAATAAATTTGCAGATATAGTTTTCTATCAAATAACTGGGTACCTCCAACATAATGGAAAAAGAAAAATGAAGGCTTCTAACAAAATCAATAAGCTCAATCAACTAGTCCCCATTAACTGAGACTGCTACAACACCCATAGCATGGAAAACTAACAGCTTCAGAGGTAGAAGGGAAAGAAACAAAAAGTAGTGAAAAAAATATGAGAAGCTATTAAAATGACATAACTGGAAAGATAATGAACTAAAACTGGCGCAGACCTGAATTCCAAGTATTCTGTCCTCATTCCCCAACTGAACTAAGAATTCCCCCAGCTTGGCCTCTACTTCAGAATGGATTGGAGTATCATATATCCACCGGGGATTTGCTGCTGGTCCCTTATTATGTTTCTAAGAAGTTAAATCATATTGTAGTCAGATATGAGCCAGCAACAAAAGCAATGAAATGACAGATCAAGGTTAAAATGGACTGACCCTTCTAAAATAGATTCAGCAAATGATCTCAAAATATCCAGATAGACTATACAAACATTCATCATGGACGAAAGCCCTGAACAATGTTAGATAATGAGATAAAAATGGACAGTTGGTTTACACAAGGTAAAGAATGGAGGTCTCTATACCATACCTCTAAGGAGAGAAAGGACTTTTGAAAACATTACAAAATCACCAGGAAAGGCATCGAACTGGAACCAAAGTGTGTAACAATGTTAGAAATATGAATGAAATTTTAATGAATGTCTCAGACAAACATATAGAGGAAAGAAGATGATATGGCCTTACAGGATTAAAGCGTTTAATTTCTTTTTGGCTAAATTTCATCTTTTCCTGAATAAGTTTCATGCCTTGTTCCTTTTGATCAACAATATTTTTCATGGTATCCTGTACACAGGGACATTAGCAAGAGGTAAAGAAAATCTAAGTTGAGAAAACAATCTGAGGGTAAACTTACGAAAGCTTCATCTGCTGGTGAGGAAGCACGGAAGAATAATGTTGTAAACTCCATTGCCTGCTCCGGCAAGTCTAGACGTAGCGTAAGTCCCATTTCTGCCATGGCAGACAAAAGAGCTACATGGTCTCCCTTTGACAAAGACAAAAATAATTATTTCTTAATCTGGAAAGAGAAATAATTTGAAGAGATGTCAAAACTAGAAAGAAATTAACAATAAATAAAGGGGTTAGAAATCAAATTCAAAACAAGGTTGTTAAGAAATCACTTGCCCTAAAAGTTTAAGCTTTTAGGTAAGGGTCAGACAATGGTATTTAGCGTACCACCCCCTTCCATGCACTTGCATATGGAGCTTACACAATCAAAAACACAACTTATTGTAATTTTATTAAATATAAAGATTTCAACAAAAGACCATTTTGTCAACTTGACTCTAACAGCATGTTAAGCAACCACTTCTTCCAAAGCTTAAGCTTATAGATAAGAAACTAACAATGGCATTTAAGCTCAACCAAAGGTAAACCAATTCAAACACTACAAGACTGATATTTACAATTCTGAAATTAAGAACTCCCCTATTAAATCAAGCTAGTAACATTACAATGAATACTTAACAAAAGTACATAAAATAATAAAGCTATAGCCTGATGCATTTAATCAAAATAATTTAGGCTAAGAGAAAGTAAAAGATTACTGCTAAAGTAGAAACAGAAACAACTCTCTCATGCTAGAGAAATTAACTCATAGACACTCACACAATCAAGACATTTAGTCATCAGATAATTCTTCTAATTTCTACAATTCTGTAAAACATTTATTCTATGATGAAAAAGATAACGAAAAGTTAACCCAAACCTCTGCAGCTGCCAACAACATTTTTGCTAGTGCTTGTTTCACAGAGTTTGATAGTTTCTTTGTGAGCCCAAAGTCGGGCAAAATTGGACGATGAGGAGCCTCCTTGCTAACAAGGAAACTTCCTGCATTAAAACACCCAAGAAACATTTGGAATAGAAAGAGGGAATTGATTGTTGCACAAGCAGCATGTTATGTTATCAGACAAAAAACCATCTTTTATTGTAAACCTAGTATTATGGCTTGTTCTGAAGGCCAAACAAATTTTCAAGACAACAAGGGTAAAAAGAAGAAATGAGCAAGAACAAGTACCAGGATGAGGGTCACCATTGAAAATCCATCAACATAAATTTGGTGGGCATATGCCTATGTAATTTCTTCTACAATCTTCTGCTTGTCAACGCCAAAAGCTTCCAGGGATTCAGAGTCATTTATACGTATCCCATCCATATACTCTAAAATCAAGACAGCTTCAGTTGACTGTCAATTTGGAAAAAAAATGCAAATTTTGTTATTTGAAATCAAAAAGGCAGTGTTCTCTATTCTAAGAAAGTCAATTTCCAAGGCAAACAGTAGATCAAAGTCTAGCATTAGTAACAATTTGGTAAACCTACCAATCCAAACTTTAAAAAAAAAAAAAAAAAACAAAAAAGGGGGGCACTCCTTCCCCATTACATAACGACCAAGGAGGAGGACATATATACAACATATCAGATCCAGGGAAGTGCTTACATTGACAAATCTAACAGTTATAGCCAAAAGATTAGCCCATTTGTTAAAAGAGTATGCCTGAAATATAAGGGTTTCATATCGAGTAATAAACTTGAACTTGTTTCTTCGGCACAAAAGTTTCCTGTTTCACTAGATATTCACTTAGATTTCTCTGATAACTTATGATAAAACACGAGTAAAGAAATAAATATTTCCAAACTTCCCATCCTTCAAATTTAACATAGCACCGAGTAAACTAAACTCCAGATTGCAAACTAAGCACATTAGTTTAAAATAATAGTTAAAACCATGCCTGAATAACTTCCGGAACAAGAACATCCACTTGCTTGGCAGCCTGCTGTCTTCGCCTCTGTTTTTGCAGCCAAGATTTCTAACACAGTTCTAGTATTTTCTAGAAACACAAAACAAGCATCAATAAGAAATAACTTCGGAAATGGAAGCATTTATCATACTAGGAAGTGCAAAATCTGTGACTTTTTTTCCTGTCATTTCAAGCTTACCCTTAGATATTCTAGATTAGTAAAAATATGCACATACCCAACTGAGAAATACGAGGCCTTAGCGCGGCACATTTAGAAGCCCCCACGCGGCGGTCAAATCTGGCCAGCTGCGTGGGGGCTCAAGCAACGGAGGTGCCACCGCAGACCAATTTTCTATCTTTTCATTTTTATTTTTATTATTATTCTTTTGTTTGATATTTTTTAAAGATCCGTGAAATTTGATGATTTGATTGGTCAATGAAAAGGATTTGTGTTTGATGAAGGCTGGAAGATGAGTTCAATGATGAAATTTTGGGAATATTTTGATGAACTTTGCTTATTAAATAAGAACAAAATTTGATAACTTTATAGGATGGATTGTGAAAAGCGTTAATACTGTAGGCTATGTTTGGGACATTGGACTAAAGGTGGGATTAGACTATTTTTTTAAATAGTCCAGTCCCGCGTTTGGTTCAGGTCTAGATAAAGACTCTCGTGGAGAAGTAAGTGACTCTTTGTCTTAATAGGGATAATTTTTTTTCTTTTTATATTAAATATATTTTATATAAATTTTATTATTAATAGTATATTAGCTAATGATATATTCCTAATTAATTAATTTAAAAATGATAATATTCCTAAAAACATTTCATTTTAATTTTCTAATAAAAAAATTATATAGAGTAATTTTAAATAGTTTTGGTCATATTATGAAAATAATTATCAGAACGCTAAATTTTTAGTTAAAATTAATGCTTTAATGATTAATATATTTCCATTCAATTTCATATAATTAATTAATTATATAAATATCATAATCATTTATATAAGTAATTAAAATTAAGATAATAAAATTGAAATATAATAGAATTATATTAAAATGAAATTATAAATTCATTACTTTATTTTATAAATAATCAACTAACCTATTAATAAATATAAAGGCTAAATTAAGGTTAAACCTATTATATTCTTCATGCATCACCAGCAACAAATGAAATAACTTAAAAGAAATTCATAATGCAGGCAAACACAAGTAATCTCTAATCCTTCAGTATTCAGCCTAATCATAGTAATTAGCCTAGCAAAATCAAATTTAGACTTCCATAATCTTCTACTATACAAGTTTAAGTTGAAAGGTAGAAGAAAAACCACCTCTTGTAAACGACAAGGAGGAAGCTAGTCTTGTAATTGTTTGAGAAGAGTTATGTACTCCACCAGAAGCACATCGGCATGCCCCGATAAGTACTGTCCAAGTTTTACCCATAAACCATTCAACTCTGTTATCAGATTCACAATACGCTTACCATTTTGGTTATGAGCTTTCTCCCATAAACCATCTCTTTTAGATTTTTCAGTCCATTTCGCTTTTATCTTTGTAACCTTTAGTTAACATTAACACCAAATAAGTCAATAAGATTTCACATCAAAATAGTAAGTAATTAAGCTGCAAACTAGACCTGGGCAAGGACCGGTCCCAACTAGGTCTGGGCCCGGGACCCATGAGAAATTTCAGGGCCCAAACTGGTCCCTAGGACCGGTCCCATGGGCCTTGAAAATTTCGTTCCACCCCCAATTTTTTTTTTTTTATAGTTAAGGGGTTAAATAAAATTATGTAGGGGGGTTTATGTAATTTTTAGGGGCTTGGAAAAATTTTTGCACCCAAAATTTTATAAAATATCAATCTAACCCTCAATATTTTTGTCAATTTCAAAATTACAGGGGTTTATGGATCTTTTTCAGAGGACTTTTTTGAAAAAAAAAAAAGTAAATGGGTTTGGACCGGGCCTTGAGGAGGGCCCAATCTAGGGATCGGCCCCTCCTCCATGGGCCTGGTCTGGGTTTGGGACTAGGCCTTGTAGGACCTGTCCTCACATAGGACCATTTTTTAGGACCAGTCCCAAATGCCTAGGTCTACTGCAAACAAAGAAATCAATTTTAGGCTCTGTTTGTTTAGTTTTTTAGATAGTATTGTATTCTAAATAGGATTTAATAAAATATAATAGGATTTTGAGAATGTATTTGGTACATTTTTAGAAAATATTTTTTGAAAATATTTAGATTAATTTTAACCCCCTACATTTGTTAATTTAGCTAAACACTCCCTGCCATAAAAGTTTATAAATTAGCAAAAACATCCTCACTGTAGTGACTTCTTTCTACTATTATACTTTAGAACATATACAATAAAAACATACATAAATAGCATAAGGAAATTAGTTGGGCCCAAATTTTTATTTACTTATAAAATATAATTCTTTACATATATCAAAACAACAAATACAAAAACTTAGCAACGGTGGATAGTAATGCCAATCCTCTCCGCTTGTCGACATCCTTCCGACCGCTGCTCACCTATTCCCTGCAAAAATATGGAAAAACAACGGGGTGAGCATACAAATGCTCAGTAAGTAAATCCCTTAACTCTTCTCCTTCTTTAATTCTTTCTTTGCTTAATTCTCTTCTTTCTTTCTTCCTTAATTCTTTCTCTTTTCTTTCTCTGTTTCTAACTCTCACTGTTCTTTTCTTTCTTTCTGTTCTTTCTTCCTCACTCTTTCTATTCTTTCTATTCTTTTTACTCTTTCTATTCTTTCTAACCATGATGGAATTCATGGTAATATGCATGAATTGAATGTATATACAATAATGCATAAAAATGCATTTTATTTCTTCTTTCTATTTCTTTTTCTATTTTCTATTTTCTATTCTATTCTTTATATTCTTTTCTTTTCTTTCTTTCTTTTCTCATTCTTATTCTTATTCTTTCTTATTCTTTGCCGATCGGACTCGGTTGATGGATGGATTTGGAACCTTGGCGTGTGAGTGAGTATAGTCCTCATCTACATGCACTCTTGCGGAACGTACAATTTCTTCTTTTCTTCTTAGGCCACTCAATTAAGGTGGCGTGCATGTAGGAAATTCTTCTCGGTACAACCCTCATCCACATACACTCTTACGAGTCAATGACAATTCTTCTTCTCTTATGCCACTCAATTAAGGTGGCGTGTATGTGAGAATTTCTTCTTAACACTCACGTTCCCATCACAACAACCTATTCTTTTCTCTTCTTTAACACTTTTTAATTTTTTAATGCTTATTCTTCCTTTCTCTTTATTCTTAGAGTGTTTTATTCTTCTTTCTTTATTCTTTTTCTTTTATTCTTTATTCTTCATTCTTCATTCTTTATTCTTTCTTAAATTTCTATACATATACAATTATATGCATATGGATGACTCATGCTTAAAATTCTTACTTAAATGCACTTATGAAATGCACATATGCAATATTGCATAAAATTAAGGTTTCTACTCAAACTCATACTTCTCTTAGGCATTTCATCAAAAAATAATTGTGCATAAACAAACCCTAACTTAATTATCATTCTATTTGTTTCTTAAACCATCCAAATTGAGAGAAAAACTCTCTTGTATCATCACCATACCTGCACGGCACAAACACTCCCAAAAGATTTCTCCAATTCTTCCAATTCAACCCATCATCATACCATCACATACACTTCTCATACTCAAATATATCCAACAACAAACATAATTCATCATCAATCTCATTTCAATTTCTCAATAATCAAAACATATGCATGCTTAAAAGAAATCTCTACTCACTTGAATTCTTAAACTTTAACTTAAGTTGGATTTTGAGTGGAATTTACTTATCTAATGCTTGAGTAGTCTCTACTAAGCTCTCTACTCTTGTTGGATTCAAACTTTCTTCTAACCCTAAGCATAAACTTCATAAGAACTCAACTTTTACACAAATAAATCATAGATAAGGAGCCAGAATTCTTACCTTTTGATACCTAGAATCAAAACCCTATAAAAATTCACTCAAAATCCCTCAAAATCCTTAGAGAATTGAATGAAAAATTGAGAGGAAATGGAGGAGAAGAGTGGCGGTGGAATGAAGGAAATAAGGGTTACAAACCCTTATCATCTTATTTTATAAATACACTTTCCCATTTTGCCCTTATACTTTTCTAGAAATTCCATCTTTGTCCCTTAGTCAATTACCATAATGCCCTCATTTTTATTGCATCCTCTTTGTAATTTTATATCTTTTCACTCCCCACAACTTCAACTAGTTTTGAGTGAAAAGACCATTTTACCCTTAATACAAGTTTAAGGCATTTTCTTCATATTCTCTTAAAATAATTCTAATAAAAATTAACTAAGGGCTATAAAACATAAATTAAATCATGTACCTCCATGTTGGGCGTTACACCCACCCACCCAATAATTGCTGACAGTCGGCCGCCACCACCGAACGGTGGCCAGAAGTTACCGGAATGGCGTACAACCGGTTGGATTTGGCCTTTTTCGGTCAAATCTACAACCAAAGATCCAACCATTGATGATAGCCAAACGACAGTCAAGATATTTCCATCATTTGACTACCAAGATATGGCCGTCGTTTGGCCATCAACGGCCAGATCTTTGACTGTAGATCTAGCTATTTTCAGCCAGATTCATGGTAGATCTGGCCGAAAATAAATAGATTGGTGTACAACTGGCTAGATCCAACCGGTCGTGTGTCATTCCGATGACTTCTAGTCACCGTCCAACGGTGGTGGCTGACTTCTGACAATTATTGGATAAGTAGGGGTATTTTTGTTAATTTTAAAATTTTTATTGAGAAAAATAATTGTTAAATATTTTGAGTTAGATAGAATATGATTGGATTTTGAAGAATATTAAAACAAATATATTTTTTATTTTTTAGGATAAGGTAATGGAAGAGGATAATGTTAGAATAGGGTACTGAATGCGGCCTTAATTACCTTGTCGTTCAGGAAAACTTTGAAAGCCAGTTTGTATATACTTTGATGCGTCTTATGTAAATGCTTCCCTACCCCATCTGAAATAACAAACACAGCCTTTAACACTTAAAAGAAATCAGATTTATTATTCATGTAAACTAAACAAAATTACCTCAGCGTCGGAAGTTAGTTGATCGATCAAAACGAAAATTTCTCCTTCTTGTGTTCAGTGTCCATCACCCCGTATCATATATACAGTGTCATTTCATTAAGAAAAACAGAGGTCCATCAGTAAGCGAACACGTCATCCAATAAAGAATATGGGGTTGCTTAAGCCTTAAAGCTACCATTAATATGTTAATAAATTAATAAATAGTAAAAGTAGTTTTTGTTTAAGATAAGTTTTCCTCCAAAAGATATTCTTGCCTTGTTGTACTTGCTTCCTAGCTTCGGAGTTACGATCCTAGTGCTCCTACTAATTGTATGTATTTAAATAGTTGTATTGTATGTTGTATTATTCTAATCAATACACAGTAAAGTTTTTTATTCCTTTCTCCTTGTTTGGCTTAATTAATTGGTCTCTGCATTCTAATAATATTTATTGATACTTAGTTTTGACACCAACTACCCACACGTGTAAAATGCTAAAAAGACTTAGAAGTCACACGTGATATGAGGGGATTGAATTAAATAAAAGATGAAGAGTAATATTTAAAGTGGTTCGGATGCTCAAAAGCGAATCATACGTCTACTGCTATTGTATTAATAAGAGAGAGAGGTCAGGTCGCGTTTAGCGAGCTGAGTTACAGTTTAGAGAGAGAATACAAGAGAGAGAGAGAGCTATTTCAGAGTAAAATTAGCTAATCCCCCACAAATGAGAGGGAATTTCTCTATTTATGGTGAGAGAGTTCAAGGTAATGATTATAAAAGCTGCAAATGGGTAGGAGCCGTGCAAATCATTTCTTTGTATCCCATTGGTCACCTGCCTGAGGGATTTCCTCGACTAAAGCAGGGCTTTGACACGTGGGCGATCTCCAGCCGCTTGCTGGCCTGACATTCACCTGCTGCACTGATAGGAGCTATACCACTTGTGCTAGGCGCGATGTGGCCGCACCTGGACGATACAAAACCCTTCTGAGCTCTGGCCATCCTTTACTGACAAGGCTTCATGTCAGTCCTACTTTTTTAGGCATAACAATATTGAAGTTCAGTGAGCTTTTCCTAGTAGCTAGATTGAACCATATCTATTATATCTCTTCCAAACTAATCTAGATGTTTATGTTTTCTCAGTTGAACTGTCCCAAAAAATAAAATCCGACTCCTTATTAAGTTACTCCATATTTTATTTGCTCCTTACACCACAAAAACTACCGAATATAGCTATGATTTGCACTAATTAGCTACAATTTCTCCAAGAAACAAAAAATTATTGATTTAAAATAATACAATTTGTAGCTATGATTTCCACATTTAAGTAATAGTCTGCAACACTCTAAATTAGGACTATAACTAATAAATTAAAATTTTATTTAAAAAATAAATAATTATTGATTTAAAATAATACAATTTTTACTAGCGTAAGTTTAAGGATTTTAAATTTTTTATTAAATGTAAATATTTTAAAAACTTAGTTGTAAAATATATATAAATTGACAATACAATAATACATCGAGCACTATTATATTATATATAGTATAACGTTTATGATGATGTTATATAATACTATATTATACAATACAATATGTGATACACCAAATATGCCCTAACTGAACTTGAGTGCCTTAAGGGACAATACAAATATTATACTTAACTTTATCTACATTGTATTAATTCTAGATCTTTTAGGGGCCGTTCGATTATGATTTCATGCTCACATTTTCCATTTTTTAATCAAGCAAAGTGTGAAGCAGGTGTTCAATAAGCATTTACTCGAAGTGTTAACTAAGAAAAATAAATAAATAAAATATTATTTATTACACAAGTGTGCAACTTTTTTCTCTCTCTAACTTGTAATCCACCATAATTTATAAACACAATGATCTCTTTGAGAGTTTACAAAGTCAATATGATCACGGTGTAGTCAGAAACTCATTTTAGAGGGATCAAGATCGTTGATTAAACTTAATAATACAATTATAAATAAACTTATAATAAATAATATAGAGTATAAGTTATACAAAAATATGAGTATTTATTTATAATATCTTTTATAATTAATACATTTATGATTGTGTTAGACGATATCGAATAAATTTATAATACTTTAACGAGTGTAAAACAAAACAAAAAAAATTTACTAATGAACAAGTTATTAGGCCAACACAAATAACACCTCCAAATTAAACTATAGTAAAATTTCTACTAATAAAATATTTAAAGATTTATCTAGCTTTTATAGTAAAATATTATAACTTTTCCGTGATGGTGAATTGTAAGCTAGCCTATACATATATATATATTGAAGCACAAAACAATTTACAATAATTTAATTTGACAAACAAATTTTGGAAATAATATTTATTGTATAAAATATATAAAAAGATATACAAACTTTCTTCATTTTGTTGTTTGTACAATTAAATAACATACATATAATTTATTATATAATTTATTAAATGTATTTGTGAGTTTTTTTTTGTAAAAACTAAAAATTTAATTTGATATATTTGATTAATTTAAAAGTCAATATGATCACCGCTTAAAATTATTTAACTCTTTTTGTTTCAAACAAAATTACATGTAATGAAATAGTATTTTGAAAAGGTTAAATAAGATATCAAAGTTGGCGTTTGATCCGTGTTTATATTTATTTAAGCTCTATTTAAGTTTGACAAACATATTGAATACGTTTTCATTTATTATCAAAATATTGTTTTGATAATGAATATATATAATTTAAATTAAGACTTTAAAAATATTTTCAATAGTATCACAAAACACAAAACAATTTCTATAAACGAACAAACTCTAGTAACACTATTTTTGTTATATGTTCTTAAAAACCCATCTATTCTTCCATGCTAAGAAAGGTGATAGAATAGTGCAATCATACATAAATTTCAGTCAATGAATCAAGATTTTGCAATCATATATAAATTTCAGGCTCCACAATTTTCTAATATCTCTTTACAAATCTCTTTGTGCCTAAGAGGTTTAATTTTTCCAAATTCCTTAGACGGGAAGGCCATGAGGATTATAATAATTAAGATATGTAGATATTTTAATTTACCAATTGCATTTAAAATAACTTAAATTGCTAAATAGTGAAAATACACACAAAAAATTCCAATAATAAAGTTGTATCTACTATTTACTTCTACAAGCCATCAACAAATTTAAATATATATTAAAAGAACCTAAGTTGTCTATAGGGAAAAATATTAAATATGCTGCCACCATATCCTTGTCATGATCAATAAAATTATATATCAAATTATTGATTTCTAAAGATGGGAAAGTGAGTATAAACAACAATTTGAAGCATACACATATGGGGGTAACCCAGATGGTTAGAGAAAATTGGAGATAGTATGGATAAACGTACAATCTCAAGTTCGATTTCCCGTCTGAGCATCCTCGATTTAAGTGGGGGGGTCGTGATGGTGGATTATTGTGTTAGTTTCTCCTGAGGATTAGTTGAGGTATATGTAAATTGGTCCGAACACCTTGGTTTTTTTTTTTTTAAAAAAAAAAAAAAAGTTTGAAGCATTGTGAAATAGACATATAGTTGATAGTCCTAATAAGTTGTGGAAGGTATTGAATTAAATAATTAATATCAATTAAAAAAGCAATAAATAAACTCATCCCGAGCTTATTGGAGCCATCGATCCCTCATAATCTTAGCAATATACATTTTGATCACCTGCATTTTCCATTTACTAATATATCAATTAAAACCACAAATTTTATGTCCACATCTATTGATATATTAAGATAATTTAGCAATATGAAAATTAACAAGTGCAGACATTCTTATTTATTTTTGAAAAAAAATTTGAACATACATTCTTGACAATAGGAAGTATTATCAAACAAATTTTTAGTCAAATTTTTTGCATTTGAAATCAACTTTTTTTTTTTTAAAGAAAATTGAGACATCTGTAAGAGAGAACTAATGTTCAACAATATACAATATCATAATAAATTAGCCAAATTCCGTAAGTGATAAATTTCGGAGCTCAAATTAGAAGCTACAAGTGATTCATATGCATCAATCTTGCTCTTATGAAGGACATGGCTTTAAAGAGTAAGCCTAATATCAATTTCCACAAACTATGTTAATTTGGAAATAAGATATTAGCAGTGAGATCGAGAATTAACAAACAAGAAAAAGAAAACATCATTAGAGCTCGATGCATACAATTTAATGACTATGAAGAGGTGGTCAGATGTACGAACAACTAGTGATTCCTCTTGACTAAAAATATAATTGAATAAATTAAAGAAATGATAATATATAAAATTACTCCTAAAATCACGAAACAAGTTGTGGTTAAAAATCTAGCTTCCATTCAAAGTTGTCTTACATAATTTTGGAAGCATTACTTCAATGCTCAGGCTATATAAGCCACAACTCTATATAAATGAAAAGGAAGTTAAAAAACAGAAAATATTCTATTTAACATGAAAGTTTGTGTTTAATTAAACATTTGCGAAATAGGTTGATTATGTTCATTAGTGCTCGGAGGAATGGTCATTCAACATCAACACAATATCATGCATGAACCAAAAGTAAAGCACTCAAGGATTTTTACATGGTTCGGTCAATAGCCTACATCCATGGGACCACTTCCACATCAAACACTATAGAAATTACTTGCAAGTCAATTACAGAGTTTAAGTTAAGTAAAACAATGTAAAACACTCAATGCTCTACAACACTGTAACTCCACCGTCTGATTGTTTCAATGCTCTACTACAATTTGCTTGAGTCCAAGAAACCACATGAATAGCTCAAGCTCCACTCAAGCTTCAATGGTCGAAATCAACTTTCAACTCTACAACTTGAACAAGCATCAAGCTTTCAGCAAAGGAACAATGTTCCAACAAAAACACTCAAACAAGATATGAGAATATTAAAGAACAAACAACAAAAGGAACCTAAGAAAATGAATAAACTCTCTAAAAACTTTCAGAGAACAATTAATGGAATATTCAAGTTCAAAGAAGACACAAGGAAGAAGAAGATATTATATAATCCTTACTCAACAAACCCTTAGTACACTCAACCGAAAAAGCCTTACACATGTTGGACTATTTTAGGAAAGTTCTCAACAACTTTGTTGGACTACATCTGAAAAAGCACAACTTTTCTGGACCACTTCTGAAACATCAGACACTTGTAAATAGACCTTTCATGCGGATTTCAAAACTGGAAAAATATCCTAACAAGTAATGAAAACACGACACCTATACTAAAATATCTAATTTGAAAAATGTTTACACAATTGAGTAAAATGTACACATATTTGCAATAAGTTCAGACAGAGGAAATGTGTATACATTTATACAATATATTACTACATGTGTAAACCACAGACATGGTTGTGCTTTAAACAACTTAATGTGCAAACATTAGAAAATAATGTACACACACATAACTTCATAAGTTGACAAAAATTTTACAATTTCCCCCTCGTCAAACTTATGAACAAAACACAATCTTAACCAAAAGAACAACTCTAACAAGTCTAAAACAAAATCAGTGTTATAGTACAAAGACAAGAAATAAAACAAAAACAAAAACAAGAAGTCATATCCTCAAGAAACATCATCACCACAAGGCAAAAATATAAAGATATGAAAGCATCATAAACAAATTCAATTCTGAAAAAAAAATAAACAGTTCAGCATAACCAGAAACTTAAGAACAATAACCAAAACCAAACTCCCCCTGAGTGTCAGACCATTTCACACTACAGCATCATAACCTCATCAAAACAAAATACCAACAAAATATACCTACTCCACTCCCCCTCTTTGTTCATAAGGTTTGAACCAAACCTCAATATTGACTAGATCTTCGGGTAGGTAGCTTTCCTCTTTAGGCTCTTTTCTTGATTCTTTTGCCTCCATGAGAAGCAGTTGATTGTTGTGGAGCTGAAGCTGAAGCTTGAGGTTTGAGTAGACTCAGCAGGATCAGTGGCAGC